TCTCCACTGTGTTCACCAGCTAGAAACTGACTGTGTTTGTCTGGCATTTGGTGCTGAGCAGGTAGCGTACAGTGGGTTTATCAAAACTTTTTATCTAACAATAGTTGACTGCTGCATCTGGAATTGATGCTGATAAGAGCTGTGAGAGTGAACCAAAACAGTAAATCTGTGGGCTGGAAAACCAAAACAATGAGCTGAAAAGCTCCAAAATGCTCCCTAGAGTTAGAGGATCTCTGTGGTTTCATTGGCAAGAACGACACCTTTCACAGTCCTATAATCATTTTTTCCATTGTTGACGCTCAATCAACATTTTGTGCAATATGAGGTCTCATTGTAGCTACAAGCTAAATGTTTGTTGGCTAACACAAACATTGTTCAGGCGGCGTTCCTTTTGGGGCTCTGTAAGAATACTATCAAATCATCCCACAAGGTCATTTTTATAATTTCCTCAATGTCTATAACTAATTTTTATGACAGTCATGACTTGGCATTACCCATTGGTGGAGAACAGTATCCTAAAAAGCTCATACTTCAGTTGGCAGAAACATACTGCAGAGGCAGGAATGTCAGTGCAGCTGGTTGGGCTGAGGCCCCCTGAATCATAGCTGCCATAATACTGTCTGAAATAACTTGGAAGGAGGCAAATCACTATTATGAGCTGCCCTCCCTTTTCTGCTCTTAGTTGTGCACCATGAAGTATGTTGAACAGCTTGACAATTAGCTGTAAATGGGCTGACACCACAACGCCGTTAATACCCATTTTACGCTCATATGTCAATGGAAAATGATCATTAACATGACAGATTAAATCTCTGTGCTCCTAGATTAGACTGCTGTGGCCACAGTAAATCCTTTGTGGAGTTAAATCAGGGAGCTAATTCACTGCTCACATCATGGGTAAAATGTCCCTACTTGCTTCCTGTACAATGTTTTGAGGTTAGATTTAAATGCTTGTTATAAGATCTGACGCAAGTGTTTAACAGGCTGTTTAACAATGCAGACTTATGACAGGTAAATGACACAAGTTTAATATTTGACAAAGAGGCTATTATGAGCGGATGTGGCAGTAAATGCTGCTGAGATGACTCCTGCCCCATTAATCTTCATCTTGTTATTCATAGCTGAGGTTTCCATTATTCTGTTATGTTTGAATAACAGGATGACTGAGCCAAAGATCACTGTGATTCATGTGACAGGGGTCTTTCAGAAATGTGACCTGTGTTTACAAAAAGGCAAAATGAACAACCTTTTTCCTGTCATCACTGTTCTGACACTAGCAGCAGGTTTTCAGCTGAATATTCTGTTGCTACAGCAACCCCTGCTGGCAAAGTTCCATAGCAGTTTAACTGACATTGTTAACATCTGCCTTTTTGTCGGATGTGTGTGACCAAGCTAGAGCTGAAGTAATTAGAAGAGTTGATTAATCACCTAGTCCATCAACAGGTAATTAATTTCGATCACATTTAAGAAAAAAAAAAAAGCCAACATTTAGTTGTTCCACCTGCTCAAATGTGATGATAGAGAGCTGTTCTTTGTCATATATGATATAGTTAGAGAAGATTTTTGGACTGTTGGTCAGGTGAATCAGTCTTTACATAATTTTCTGAAAATTTATGGAGCAAATTAATCTTTGACTCAAGAAAGTAATCGCAGATGAATTAAATAATCATACTAGCTGTTCTGCAACCGACAATTGGTTTGTTGCTATAGCGACTCCTGCTGACAAAGTTCAATAGCAGTGTAACTGACACTGATTATGGTTATTCATATCCCTGTGCACACAATCATAAGAGTGTCCAGGTATCCGATCATCCGGCTTGATTTGTGTCTTGATTTATCACCATTTTTATTTCCCATTTTATATTTCTCTTTCTATGTCCTTTACCAGCGAAAAATATTCAGAAATCTCAAGGTGCTTAAATACAACAGCTTCCCTGTTTCTATTGGAGTAGCTACTCCAAGTAGCAAAGCCATGTTAACCTAAGCCTAACCCTCAAAACCAGGATAAGACCTTATATAAGTCTCTGAAAACAGGACAAGATAAAACCAGGATACTCCAAAAATCTGATCATAACCAAAACTCTAGCATGCATTTAAATGCACTAATTGCGACATCTACTATTTTGTAATTGGACGATTACCTGTACACACTCCATTCCTTGTAGCTATTTTGTGACTGTTGTTGACTGTAATTTGAGATAACTAAGTAAGCAATAATACCAGTTGTCTATTGTGTTGCTAATATAACATTCAAAATAATTTTAAATTTACTATTGGGTTAACTGTTATGTGCTTTATTCTTTATTTATTATTATTATTATTATTATTATTTATCTTAACATAGTCTATACTTCTGTAGAGCCAGTTTTCTGTGTCAGTAGCAAATCTTTTTCATCCTTATTCCAGCTTTTATTAACTGTATGTTTTTACAGTTTCACAATTGTTTCCCAAAAAAACTTTAGGAAAAATGTTATCTTCAACTTTTATTGTAAATCTATCTCATTGTGACGACTTACACCCATAGGGTAGGAAGACAAAATACTAGTAGTAGTAGTAAAACACTTCTTCAGATGCCATTGAATAAAAAAAAATTTAAATCACCAACAATGTGATAATTTCCTTGGAAACCAACTTTCTCTCAACATGTGCCAGTACTTTGTACTTTGACAACACACTATGACTCACTGTATTTACAATATGTGCTACTTTCTACATGCAGGATAATAATGTCAGGTGAGTCATTGGCATCCCTGTGTTCCATCTTATGGGTTTATAGCAAAAGAACTGACTTTGTGCAAAAAGCATGAATCTAGAAAAAGACTGAAATATTTACAGCTGCTGTTTTAGATAACTGCACGTGTCTCAGCTACTAGAACAAAAGCCAGTGCAGCTGCAGTTGACAGTACTCTTACATAAACTCAAATCATTTATTTTTCCAAGGTGTTCATGGGAAGAAGCCGAATAAACCACCAAAAAGCAAAATGCAAGATACGGAAAGATTAACTGCTTTTTAACAGCTTTAGGACTTTTATTATAATATTGTAATAAATGTAATTTATGTAGCAGTTTGCAAAGTGCTTCAGAGGGATTAAAACAAATGCAAAATCTTTCCTTTAGGGTGGATTTTGTCCTTTGAAGTTAATAATCAGCATTTTAACTAGATCATTAAGTCATCTGCTTTCCATTTAGGACAGCAAAGCAAGGCACCAATGTTTCAATCTCTGAGCCTCACACTTTCACCCACCCCTCTTCCTCTCAACCTGATTCACGTACATCTACGTCAGTGTCACCTGGTCTCACTGATAAGTGTGGTCTAGACAGTCAGACAGCCCCTCTCTGCAGCAGGCAGGAATTCATGAAACCCCCCTCCTGGGATCGGCTCAGTTCCAGCTCTGTACTGTGTGACCCACTTATTTGACAGCAGCTCTGTTAAAACTTTCAGAAGCGATGACTGCTTCCCTTGCTGGGCAACAACAGCGAAAGCAAGAGAAATAAAGACAGTGAGAGAGAAAGCCTCCCCGCCTTAACATCGTCACTACCACAGATTTGTTTCTGAGTCTGCTGGCACACAGACGAAGGTTTAGAATTAGTAATGAATGAATGATTTATTTCATTCCATTTCCTATCTTGCAAGTAGCAATTTGCTTTTAATTCACTTCACAACGGCAAGAAAATTGACTTTTAGAGCCTTGAAAAGATATTTAATCCATCACAGTAAGCATTTGCTACACTGATCAGCCCACTATTTAATGCAAGAAAATGGCCACTGGACTTAATTATGCCCATGTTTACTTATCTTTTGTTCTGTGGGTTGAATTTCCTGAAAACAAAAGCTCATAATTTTAATGGCAGCTGACTCTCAAAATTACATCTTGAAGGTTTTTAATTGCACGCACAAACAAGGATATGGTCCCTGCCTACAATCAGGGCCGTCTAGTAAAAACCATGTACCTCCAAGATGTCCACTTTTCATGAACAGCAGAAAGAAAAAGCTTTGTAAAAATGCATTTTTCAGATAATTGGATATATTCTTAAATGGTTTAACTAGCTTTAAATCAATTTTATTTATATAGCCCAATATTACAAATCACAAATTTGCTTCAAGACCTTAGGTAGGAGAAGTACAACTGTTTCTACCAATAAAGTAACACTTAACCCCACAGCTTTACATATTTGGAGATACATGATTTTACTGGACCACAAAGAAACGCACTATTATGTTATAGTAATGTAACTCTGACTAAAAAAAAAACATAAATAAACTGCAGGAAGTGAAGTTTTCACTGTGATGGACTGCCTGCAAGTTTCAAGTCTGTTGAATTCATTCCCTAATGTGCCGAAATAAATTGAACAATGGCTACCTGGAAAAGCAGGAAGCAGGAAACCAATCTAAAAATGTACTTTGACAAATGTTAGCAGTACTTAAATGAATAATGCATAATATTAATAAATCAGGTGGTTTGTTAACAAGGCTAAGGATAGGAAACAAAGAATTTCCCAGTCTGATTAAATGCTCTCTGTTGAACCCTGGTAAACTAATGGTTATAACGTATAAATGCAGTTTCATTCCAGCTGATGAGCTTAAAGTCATATCATATGTTTCCCAGTGTTTCTGTTCTGAAGCCATGCTGTCACTATCAAATACATGCAAAAATCTATGTCCTACACACTTAGGCCTTACTGCATGCAGCTGCAACCTTGGACAGAAACACCAACCAAAGAGAACGTGTACAGTGATATTGTTCACAACCATCCAACCAGTCACAGTCTCGACAACGATCTGTAAAGTCACTTGTCAGAAACACTCTCCAATATCAGGAAAAATGCAGTTAGAAATCGCACTAGACAATATTTCAGTATCTCCTCGATTAATTGTGCAGTTCTCAGTCACACAACTGGCACACTAAAAAACTCAGATCTCTAACACCAAAACAACAGCAGAGAGGAAGAAGAGCCTGAGGGAGAGGTGATAATTGACAATACGACATGCTGTTTCTCACCTCAGCACCATGGGACAGACCCCTTATCCTGAGAGCCGGGGAGGGCTCGGCTGATTGTAGAGGAGTCAGACCTCCGTTCTTCAACTGCTCCCCTGAGGGCGACTTTGGTACAGTCCACACAGGAACACCATCTGAAAAAATAACAAGTCAGGGTCAGAGCCGACTACCGGCTTTAAGTTAACAACAGGGGGGGGGGGGGGGTAGTTGGGATTTACTACTAAATGGTATATATATTTGTACTGTTGAACTGTGTGCTTGATTTTGGGTGAGCAGAATCAAAGAGGAACTAGGGAGACTCACACAACACTCTATATCCTATTTATTTCCCCCAGTCAATATTAAAGATCTCATAAATGGTATTAAACTGGGGACGTGTTATTGACAGAGGCTAGACACCAGGAAATTGTGTGTGCGCTTGTATGTGTCTGTTTAAATTTAATATTTGCTATCCATAAACAATAAAATGTTCTGCAAAAATATAAGAAATCTACACTCATATAATGAGCCTTGACACAACTGCAGTTGTTTCCAGTTATTACAGTTACATTATTAGGCAAATCAATACATAATCTGATAGTCGACAACCTCTACTGTCTACTTCACCTGGAGGGGATGGACCATCAGAGGTGATGATTGACATAGTTTGCAGTGCTGTTAAGAAAATTACCTTTAAATGACTTTCAGTCAGTGTTGAGATGGGGATAACTGATATGACTTTTCCTCTTACCACATTACAAAAGTTTGTTACCGATTCATCAACAAGACTAAGAGTCTATAGCAGCAGGATACTTCCTCAAGGGACCATGAATATCTGTACAGTATTCAAAGCAATCCATCCAATAGCTGTTGAGATATTTTAGCCTTGCCAAAAATGGTGGATCAACCAACCTACCAACAGACAGGGTCGAAAAGCAGGTGCAAAAGCTACAAGTCACAGGTTATACAGTATTAAGTTGAAAACAAGAGAAAAATGTGCATAATTACACCAGGGCAATAATTCACTGGTATTGTATTGAGAGGATGTGAACATATTGTTTTAGAAATCTACAGTTGCCATATTGTGATATATAGATACGAAGAGTATTTCTTCTGCATTGTCATATTGATTTGAATCATATCACTCATCTAGCTTTCACTAATTTGTAATAAGGTGTTCTAAGCTTGAATTGCAGGCTCATAAATTAAAAAATATATATAAAGCGGTAAGGGGAAAAGTTTACTGAATCATGATGACTCATGCGAAACACTTGAGGAACAATAGTTGCAACACTGACTAAGAAAGCTCTTCACAGGATATTTGCTGCACAGTATTAAATAAAACAGACATCAAATTCAGTCACCACCTCTGACAGCCTTCCAACTCTGTGCTTCATCAAATATGTCTAAGTCAGGGCCATTAAATTGTCGGGTGTTTCTGATAATGTTTTGCTTCTCCTGTATGAACAGACTCATCACAAACTGTATAAAGATAACAAGATTTGCAACTGAAACTAATATTAAACAACCTTAAACCAACCTGCAGGTAAAGATTTTGCTACCAATCTATGCTCAATATCCCTAAAAGACAAAGTGAAAACATGGTTTTAGAAATTTCTGCAAATTGAAAAAGCATCATCATTCCAGTGTCGTCATGCTGAAAGATGAACCGTCACACAGTCTCAGGTTGCTGGCACTCTGGAGCACGTATTTCTTCAAGAACCTGTCTGTTTGGCTGCACTCATTAATTCTGACCAGTCTCCCTGTTCCTGCCGCTGAGAAGCACCCCCATAACATGATGCTGCCACCACCGTGCTCCAAATTGCTTGGAGTTGTGCCCAAAGGGTTTAATTTTTGTCTCATCGGTTGAGAGAATCTTTTTCCTCATGCTCTTTGAGTACTTTAAAAAAGCCATCCGGTGAACTCCAAAAGGGCTGTCATATGCCTTTTACTCAAAGTAGCTTCCATCTAGCCATAAAGGCCTGATTGATGGAGTGCTGCTGAGATGGTCGTCCTTCCAGCACGTTCTCACATCTCTGCAGAGGGCATCTGACGTTCTGTTAAAGTGACCGTTGGGTTCTTGGTCACCCTCCTCACCAAGACCCTTCTTGTCTGGTTATTCAGTTTGCTCGGACGACAAAATCTAAGAAGAGTCCTGTTGGCGCCAACTTCCTCCATTTCAAATCATTGAGGCCACTGTTCACCTTGGAACGCTCAAAGCTTTACAAATGGTTTTATACCCCTTCTCTGATCTATGCCTCATGACAGTTTTATAGACAAGTTTTATTGTGTAGGTTTACATGGACTTCATGGTTTTGTTTTTGTCCTGAGATGTAGAGTGAGTTGTGGGACTGGTGTACACAGGTGTGTCGCCTTTCTAAACTATGTCCAATCAGTTAAATTTTCAAGGTGGATGCCAATCAAGTTCTAGACACATTTCAGTTTTTGATATTTAATAGGTTTCTAAAATAATGTTTTCACTTTGTAATTATGGGTTATTGAGTGTAGATTGATGGGCAAAAATGTCCATTTATCCTTTCAAAATTAAATCTACAGCACAATTAAGTGTGCAAAAAGTGAAGGGGTCTGAATACTTTCTGAAGCGACTGTACATCACGGTAGCAGATCCCATTTCAAAGTGCTGTTGGAGCAGCACCAGAGACCCTTCTCGTCTCCAATCCCAACAGTCAAATTGGGTTAAAAGTCTAATGCACCAGGAGGCCGTTCTTTGATATCCATTAGTGGGAAGCAAGCTGTGCTGACACAAGTCGACATGCTGGTGAGCCCGAGGCAAGTCTGTCTTGACAGAATGTGCTGAAATAGCCCTCAGGCCAGGCCTCTGCTTTGGTCAACTGCATTTGACCGACAGAAACCTGGAAAAGCGTTAGTGACCCCCCTCCAACGACACCAGACTATTGTAGAGCGGAGACATGGCCGGGAGTGGCTCTGCGCGAAAGCGATTGAGGTTTGAGTGAAATGTAAATATAGTGAAAATTGAATTTGAGGTACTTCTTGAAAAGGTTATCCTCAAGACATTTGGAGGTTAATGGGTTTCTGAGATTTCATTTCAAGCAAGAGTTTTAAGGGAAACATTTCAGGAAATAGTTCAGGTTTTTGTGCTGTAATAATGATTTTTCCACAAGTAAAAAGCTGGTTTACAAACACAATTAATGTTACATCTAATTTGAGTTTCTTAGAGATGTCACAATAAAGCACCAGAAGTAGAAACACTCAGTGAGCAGGGATGTTTGGGCCATTGGATCAAGGCATGCAGGTGAATCAAAAGGCTGTCACAGATCAAACAGTGGAGAGACAAACATTCATGCAGTGGGTATGTCCAATGGCTTCACCTTCCATTTCTGGGCTGTGACATCAAGTCAGATTTTGTGATGCTTTCACATTCAGCTCTTACCCTGCATGTTCCTCTTGTCCATTTTATTTTCTTTTAAAATAAGACATGCTATTCAATTCTCAACTCAATTTTCATGATGCATTAAATTCATTTTGTTAAGTTGCAAGGGGACTAGTTTGCAAAGTAAATTTCCTTTATGGATTTTCATTCCCTTAAAGGAAAATGTTCTGCTTGTGTGGTTGAAAGACAGAGTTGGGCTTCAAGCTCTTTATGGCAGTGACAGAGGGAAGGGAAGGGAAGGGGGGAATCCAGAAAGAGCTGGAGTGAGCAGCTAGGATCCTTTGTGACATCAGCTGATAATATGCTGTCTGGTTTGTGACTGGCAGGTTTTTGGTGGGAGTTTACAAAGATCCTTTAAGTTCCTGAACTCTCTTTGCCATTACTAGAGCTGACACAAACAAGCTGCTCTGGTTTTGTAGCAACAGGAGCCTGGGGGGAGAAAACGTGCCAGCCAAACTCAGTCCAACCTCATGCTCGACTTTCTATCAAAGAGTTTTCTTGCCCATGCAGTGGCAAAGCTTTCCTATGTCGGCGTAACAATACCATTCAACCAACCAACCGACCAGCCAGCACTCCCTGTTATCAGCTGCAGCAAATCTGGATGCTGCCCATGCTGGTGAGCCACACTACCAATCACTCGGCAAAACCGAGGATCCTAAAAAATACTCCTCACTGAGGTGTGGGGGGTACATGCCGGAAACGGGGAGAAGCTTGACCCCCGCAGGACTTATCAGCCAGGCAGCGTAAGGAAAGAGATTTGTACTTGCGGCCCGGTGGTCCCACTCCACACCACCCCCTATCTGATGAACAGGTACAGGGCAGGGTGACTGCTGGCGCAAAAAGAAGACCAACAAACTGTGAGGACCAGCAGATTCTGGATGGGATCCAGCACCCACCCAAACCCAGATCCCAAAAGGCCTTTCCCCAAGTCACAGATGGTGGTGGACCACATCTTCTTGGCTTACAACATGCACCTGTAGGACTTAAAAGATGGCTCTAAAATATTTGTAGCTTGCTACTTGGGAGGATTACAGCTTGCATTAGTTTGGATTAACAGCTGTTACAATGGATTCCAATGGGAACCAAGAAGTCACAACAAAAACATGCTTCAAACCATCGATTTTTCACTGCTTATCTGGGTTCATGTCGTGGTGGCAGCAGGTCAAGCAAGGTAGCCCATGTGGCCTCGTTATGTCCCCCAGCTCTTCCTGGGGGACCAAGGTGTTCTTATGCTAAATATTGGCATATGTCATCCCGTCAGCATGTCCTGGATCTGCTGCAGATTCTCCTCCTGGTTGGACTTGCTTGAAATATTTCCACAGAGTCGCATCTGGGAGGCATTCGAATCAGATGTTCACACAAACCAACTGATGGAGATCCTGAGTTCCTTGCTTGTTTGAGCTGTCTCTAAGGGTGTGTTCACACGGAAAGCGAGGTGTGAATGTATACGGAGTAAAAGGAAAGACAAGAGACGAGAGCGGGCGAGAGCAGGCGAGAGTGGACGCACTTAGAACGGGGCAACATGAACTGAGAAAGACACATCCACACTTTATTTATATAGAGCGAAAGGCAACTGTAAAGAAATACCAGAGGGAACTGGAGTTCAGCTGTTGTATTGACCGTTTGGGGCTGAATCAAAGCTGTCAGACCAGGTCCAGGTCCAAATTCATTTTGCTTTCTGTCTGAACACACCTTTAGGGTGTACCCCACCACATTGTAAAGGAAACTCATTTCCACCTTTTCTATCTGCCACTATCCCTATGAAAAAGGAACAAAAAAACAGAACATTGCTAAACAACCCCTACAGCATGATCCATTTCCTCAGTATAATACAAACAATCCTCATTTTGCTAATAAATTGTTAAATGCACGACTTCCAGCAGGCGAAAGTGTGAAGTAGTATCACTTTGAGCTTTATTAGCCATTTACTACCATTGACCATTCCCGAACGCTACTGAATGGACCTTGTGGTGACATCGTTCTGTCAACAGCAGATTAGATGATTATGCTGCAGGTGTTTGACATGTTTCTGTGGGTAAAATGACACATTTTTTGTCTTAATGTATGGGTGACCGTTGGACCCATTGTAACTGCTGTGAATCCATGACCATCTTTCACAAAAGAAGCAAGCTATTAACTCTCAGAGACACCTTATAAGCCTACAGGGAGTAAGTGTGTGGTACTCAATAGATTTTCAGTGGAGTATTACTTTAAAATCAGCTCTACTCCTCTTTCCTGGAGAAAACATGGTGCTGCTGTTTTGGAGCAACCTCGACACTATAAATGGATTATAAATATTCCTCTATAGGTGGGAAAACAGGATTAGTTCACAGCATTTGATGGATTTCACATTATTTTAACCTGTATTTGGGGTCTATCGTCCACCTTTAGGAAGTGTTCGCTAATCCTAATCCTTGTTGTGCCAATAGAACCACCCTCAGGCTTCAAATGGTTTAAATCGAAACAACTTTATTGGATTCATCGTGATCTGGCACAGAGAGGGTTAAACATGGCAGAGGTCTGACATTTTAGGCACCAGTGTGGATTCCTTTGGCAAAGACTTAATCCTTTGAGGAGATTTAGAAGTGCAAAGTATTAGTCATTATATTTAGGTTTACTCAGTCACACATAACCCTGATTTTTTCTGACATGCATGTAGGAGACAGTCTGAAATGCTTTCAAAGATTTTGTAAACAATATTGACGAGAAATTCATGTTCATACACACTTCACATTCATGCTTGTACTTGGCACAACCATTTTGAGGAACTATTGGCATTTCAATGCATCTGATGACACTGAAGAAACATAGTAATGGATGGACAACAAGACAAGAACAACACTAATAACTACAAACTATGACAAAAACGTGAACGGAACAAAATAAAACGAACACTTTAACACAAATGTAACATTCAACAACATTTACTACAAACACTGAAGTTCATAGTACCCATTAGGCAGGGACAAGAGCCACAGTCCAGCTGCCCCAGCTGGCCCTTGCCACTGATGCTGGGCTCTGGAGGAGGGAACTGGAAAGACAAGGGGGATGGGGGAGATGGAGGGGTCGGGGGCTCCAGTAGCAGCACTGGAATGGGGCCCAGGGCGGACTCACCGGAGGGGGCTCCGTGGGTGGCGTGGTTGCGCTGCGAGGCCTGGGACTGAGGTGCCGCCTGGCTGTGGCTCTGGGTCTGTTGGAGGATGTTCAGGCACTCTCCCAGGCAGCTAAGTGTGGCGGCCGACGTGGCTTTGAGCAGTAGCAGGTCCTGGTCCAGGCAGGAGAGGGGGCCTTTGGTGGGTAGAGAGTCAATAGACTGAACCAGGTTCTTCTGTTGGCCCTCTGCCTGGGACATCACCTGGGGGACAACAGTGATGAACAGCATTAAAATATGCAGCCAACAGTTACTTTGGTGAGATACTGATGCAAACGTACGGACCTTACTCACAGGTAGCAGTATGGGTGCAGACACACAGTATCAGAGGTATTGAGTCCTGTAACTGCATCTCTCAAACAGCCTTACCAAACAATATTTCAAACCATAATGCAACATTAATAACAACTCATAGCGAGGAAATCAATATCACTACCGGTAAGTAACTTACAGTAAATCATTCAATGGAAAAATAATTGTTTGATATTCTGCCCTGCATTTAAGGGATAAGGCTGGTGCTAGTGTCAGTATTCCCTTTTGTTATCACTAAAACAAGACCAAAACCAACATGATATGGCCTATTTCTCTGTGCCACAGACCTTCAAACACAACAAGCCCCACAGTTGCACTTTATTGCGATAAACATGTGAGCTGGTCAATCCCTCGTCATAAACATTCACTAGTACACCTAATGTGTATTAATCCACAGTAAAAAATAATCCCCTACTAATACACCATTTACTCTAGTTTGAGTAAAGTTTGCTAAAAACTACAGTGCCCAGCTGTTTTTGGAAATTATTTGGTCTTTTTAGATGTTGGCACTTTAGGTCTATGACCTGTTTTTAAAGGATTATGTCTTCAATAGGAACAAAGCCATTTAGAGTTACACTAACGTGTTGTTAGTTTGGAAACTAAAATCTAAAATAAAACCATCCGTACTCTTTAATGTCCTTTTTACAGTATATTCATGAAATGCAGACATAATTAGTCGTTAGGCTGGTGTTACATTGTGATAAAATGTGTCAAGTCCTTAAAAAAGATTTTTTTCTTAGCTTGTTGAAACAATGAGGAGGAAACAAGGAATAGTTTTAATTACTGGACTTTTAAAGTTACTAATTGGTCATCAAGGGGAATCTCTAAATGTTACATTTTTATTCATATTTGGGGAAAATGGCATGCAATATCTTTGTCACATTAAACTAATATTCAAAGATCGCAGAATTTAGAGGTTGAATGGATGGACAATGTCCACTAACATAACCAGTAATGTGGATACCTGCGTGACACATGCAGTTATAAATTTAACATTTCATACAATCTTCAACCTTCTCAGATGTCTCTACTGGTGTCGTCGTGACAGAGTGAGAGAGTGAGAGAGTGACACAACTTATCATTAATTCTAATTGCATCACTTCAGTCTTGACTACAGGCAACAACTGATCCACACAACCATCTGCTCTAAGACAACAGTGCCAAAAAAAGAAAAAAAAAAAAGAAACTGCTAAAACTCTTCAAACAAGAAAAGTTCTCCCCCGTGCTCCCACAGACACACAGAACATTTCTTACTCTGAGAATTATTTGTGTGTGACTCACCTATCAGAGTCTAAATGTATCACAAAAGGAAGAAGACAAAGTTGCTTCTCGCTAGCGGGTAATAAGCTTCTCTTGGGGCTAATGAATCTGGGTTGTTTATCAGCCTGGAAATGTTGTATTCATTAATATTGTATACACTCACAAACACTCGTCCTCCGCACTCACTTCAGTAGCACATCTGTCTCCCTGCATCAGCACACAGAGCTATTTTGGAATCACTGAGCTTTTGTGGTGGGGTTATGTGGCACAGACATTCATGTAAAGGAATTTAGTTAAAAAAGCAAAGAGCTTGTCCAATTATTCTGCTATTTACTGGGGTCGCATGTTGAATTCCTCGGGCAGATGGAGCTCAAAATTGTTTCCAATGCTTGTTGAAGAGTCTTAGTGTTCAGCATGCTGATACCCATCGTTTTCTCAGTGGCTTTCAAATAACCAGGACTTCCTATTTCATTTGGCTTCTGTGTTTATGTGGCTTTCTCATAGTGGACATGATTTTACTGCACTGTAGGAGTTCATACAGGATATGATCATTTATTAAGTTCATTACATCAACATACAACAATCGCTATGCCTGTGTTAAATTAAATCTGACCAATCTGTTGCAGCATGCTTGAGAACACATGTATATTTGGAAAATTCAAGTTTTTCTGAAAAAGTTGAGTGTCCTTATGTGCAAACAAATGCACACAACCATAAGACTGAGGGAGTTAGAAAAGCTATTTATTGAAGCCATTTTGTAGTAAATTTGACTTTTAAATACTGACAATATGGATGGACGGCTGATGAGGCTCCAGAAATTTCCAAAAGATGTTTTGATACTGTTCTCACCATGAAAAATGATCACTAATAAGTCACAGTATAGTGTGACCAAAACTGGATATATTATTATCTATTATCTATCTTTTTTTTTTTTCTTTTTAAGACAAATTTGGAGATTTGTGACTGGGCTGCTGAGCAGGATACTTTCCAGTCAAGATGCCAGTGTTCTCTAGTGTAAACTAAACTATGTCATCTTATCTTTGACATGTCTGTACTGCAACCTCTTGTTATCAGCTGACATATAACAGAGATAATGATAATCTGTGATTAGCTAATACCGGCTGATGCAACGAGCCAGCTGAGCCAAGCCGAGCCTTGGTACAGGTCCCTATCGTACATTTTTTGTTGGCCGAGCTCTGATTTGTAGTACTTTATCTGCTGTGGATCCAAGCTGACCAGTTTCATGGTTTTTGTGAAGAGACTAATAACTTTCCACAACCACATGTTAAGTCTAAATGATGAGTTTCATAATAAACAGATACATTTTGGGTGCGGCACTACTAGTACTTACACTCACATATTGATATTGAGGTTATGATATAATGGTAACAAAGATGCAGAACTCTCAATGTCACTGACTTTTATGTAGAGCAGGTATCATACAACATGAAAATGTAGGCTGAAAAATAGAGACACAGAAGAATTAGAACAGCATCTGTGTTGCATTAATGATACCAGAAATAAGAGCTGCCTCAAGGTCTATGTTCACTAAAGGGGGCTTTAGCTGGTGGTAATACAAGTTGCTGAGCAAATGTGTTGCTATGCAACCTTAAGTAACTGTAAAAGACCCATACCATGGTCAGAAATAATGCAGTTTACTTGGTTTTATGGTGCTCAGTAAAATGTATATAAGCAAAAAAAAAAATCTTGATATAAGCAAAACATGGCATTTTTCCACAAACATGGAAAAAAGCCTGTAGTGGAGAGAAGTACCACGCTTGAGCCAAGAGGGACACAAATACAAGAGAGAAGATAAAGAGAGGGAAACAGCTAATGCAAAAAAGGAGAAAAACAAGCATACATGAGGTAAGGAGGAGTAAAAGCCAACTATGAAATGTGGTATAATCTCTCAGAATACCTGACTGAATAAGGACACAGAACACAGGCGCACGTACGCACACACACGTACACACACACACACACACCTCCATAGTGTAAATGCAGCTGATCCTGATGCGGGCAAGAAGTGTCACTCTTTTCTCTCTTTTTTTTTTTTTTGTCCTCCTTCCTCATATTCCAAGACAAATTAGCTCATAATATAGAAAGCTAGTAATATGTAGTTATACAATTAACATTTTTTCTTTGTTTGGTTTATAAGCAGGTTATACTGGTAGACATGAACATAAAACCACCATAAAATTACAGCTGACTGCTACAAAGCTAAGTCAGAGAGCTGGCTGACAGAGACACACACACACACACACACACACACACACACACACACACACACACACACACACACACACACACACACAGAGCTCTCTGGAGCCAACAGGACCAGTGCTGCTTCCAGAAATAGCCTAACCCCAGTGATCCAGCTCTGCCGCAGCAGTGTAAGTGCCCGGTGGTGCTGCTGCACCACGAGTTGTGGCGTTTGATGAGTTCCCATCAGCCAGCTGTGACAAGCAGGCTGAGGAGAGACGGTTATGTGGTCTGACTCCCAACGTCACATATTCAGTGGACAGACAGATGCATGCATGGCTGGACAGATGGACGGAAGGTGACAGCATGACAATGGCCTGAACATTCAACACAAGACCGCCCCAATATACTGGCTTACAGAGATATCAGCATTAGAAGTGTCGCTTGCAGTAACAAGAGGAATATTTTAAGTCTACACTGGACCTTAAAATATTCCAAATCAAATCCCTTAATATAATTCAGGAGTGAGGAGTAAGCTGCATACGCACTTTGTACAAATGTGAATAAATGTGATAAATTTCAGGTTGTGACTCCTATGTGGACGTTACAGATACAAAACAATCTAAGGATCACGTTAAAACATACTTTCACAATGATTTATGTAAACATTACAGGATAAAATTAAGACAAAAATTAGAAATATTAATAACATATTAGACAATGATGAGGGGCTATGACTGAAAGCCTGTGAATGGATTCAATAGACAGTGCAGGCTCTTAAAGCTCTTTTTTGTGCCACTTGTTATTGCCATCCCAGAACCTTGCGATGCCTTTAGAGCCATGTGAGTGGTGGACATTTGAATCCTATTAGAAAATAACAATCATGTATTGGAGAGTGGTACTGCTGCTGCTGCTGCTGCTGGGCTCACATTGTATCTCAGAGCCTCCTGCCTGGTGCGAGGATGGTTCAGTGAGTGCTGGTGGGTCGGGGTTCAACAGGGCAGAGCTGAGGAGGTATATCATGTGGAGATTCACTGAGGTGCAAAGAATTTCTCTTTCCCTCCGTTACCGTTTTGAAAAAGAGCCAAAGTTGTGCGCATCAGAGGCAGGGTGGTCAGGTCTGACAGGAAGTAACAGGAGTGGTGTTTATGAATATTATCAGCGATAGTGACCAGAAAATAAATGGGATGTACAACACAACATCCCCACTGCCGCTGTTTGACCACAAATCCACTGATAATCAGCACGGAGCAGCTTTCTGGTACAGTGGAGCATAAATCACAGTGGAAGCAGACGACTCCAACATCCTCCGACCCTTTGCCAAACCCTGTCAGACAAGTTTATGGGCCCGTTACGGATAAAGAAAGGAGAACAACAAATGACATGAGGAGGGAGGGAAGGCGGTTGGAGGCTGATGCAGGAGGAAGAAGTGGATGTGGAGAGAGATGATGAGAGGAGCTAAATCACAGATATGAATCAGGTCGCAGGAAGACGCAACCCGACTCTCCTGGACCAAAAAGAACGTGAAGCCCAACAGAGAATGAATCACACATCATCACACAGAGTGGCCTTGTTTTCTCCGTCTGTGGAGAAAAACACAAGCACCAGAGGAGTGTTTGTTTTACTTAACGATCCCACCATCTGCTCTGTGTTTACTCAAACCCTCCCAGGTTCGCTTGAGGAGACAGACTCTGCTCCTGAGAGGTGAGAAATTAGTCTCCACTCGCACTGATCGCTAGTTGCTCTCTTTCTGTCACAGAGTGAATCATTTACGCCAGATATTCTCAGCAAAAACGAGGCAGACACACAGCGTGGCGCATCTTAACGGGGGAATTTTAACAACTTGAAGCCAGCCAGATCTTCAATGAGCAAGAAAGGCATGAAAGAAAAGAGCTTTGCATGAAATACTGATGCTCCTCCAAGAGTGTCATCAGGATAACAAGCAGATGAACCGTGGAGGTAAATTCCAAGTTTTTAATGCACTCTTTAACCAATGCTTTGGCAGTCTACTCCCTACTGTTTCAGTTACAGGAAATGAGACCAGAGTAGTACAAGGTGCTCAGATCCTGCTGTGAGGTTTCAATTACATGACAGATTATTAGGCAAGCCGGCTGTGTGTGTGTGTGTGTGTGTGTGTGTGTGTGTGTTTTTTTAAATTCCTCAGGGGCATTAGACACCATACAAAGCTGCTTTGTCCCAGTTTAAGACAGGTACGAAATGAGAGTCGTCTGTTATTCAGGAGCGAGGATCAGATAACTAAGAAAGAAAGATTGTTTTTCTCATCCCTGTAACCTTCAGCTAAGCAACAAGGTCGAGAAAGATGCCAAACATTAAAGTTTCCAGCTTTTAAAATGTGAAGATTTGCTGTTTTATTCTTATATCATTGTAACTTGAGTATCTATCAACGTTTGGACTGTTAGCAGCTGTTTGCCAGACAAAACAAGCTATTTAAAATGAATCTGTGGAGTTTTCTCTTTTAATTTATTTTCATATTTATAAGTGGATCCCCATATTTTGTTTGTCTCACTGTCGAATATGCATTCCTGCCAAGAGTTTCACACTGTTCCACTGATCTACAAGTGGAGGAAATGTGGAAAGAAAATGCAGCAATGTGCCAATAAAGGCAGGGAAGCAGAAGACAAGATTGTAAATGTTGAGAAAAAAAAAAAAACACAGGATTTAAAATTCAAATTAAAAATTTAAATTTAAAACATTTGCAAAAATGATTTTTTTTTTTGAGGAAGGAAATTAATTCAACAGGTCAACAAACTTTTATAGACTATCTAATTAATCAAACAATAGATAAACTGAATATACTGATGAATATAATCATAAGTTGCAACCTGAGATTTAATCAAAATTATTTGAGATCTGTGAGAGATCTGGTGTTATCCAGTTGGGAGCTTGCATTTTATCAATTTTGGATGCAAATGAGTTTTTTTAACCTTTAAAGTCACACTTACTCATTTTTTGGCCACAGAAAGAAGCTGTAAATACAACACTGACATATTACTACTGCTAAGCTGATAAGGCAACTTGTTAGAAAACAACTGCCGACTTACAAATCAAGCAGACACTAAGCAACATCCACCCGATGAATGTGAGTCCAGTTATCTCTCTCTCTTTTTAGCTCCTTTTTTCGCTCTCCACCAACGTCCTGAAGGAAATGTATAGGTCTTTAGCTGCTAAATGCTCCACTGTGTTCACCAGCTAGTTGCTACATTCAGTCTGTCTGCTGTTTGCTGCTGAGCAGGTCATGAACAGTCGGTTTAGAAGAGTGTTTATTTTTGCTGTACACAGCGGCCTGCTGCTGGAAACAACAATGATGAGAGAAGGAAGACTGAATTAAAACAGTTGAGGAGTCAAGCTGAGGAAAGATGTTGAAACACTCTGCGGAGTACAGGGGAACTTCATAGCAAACTTTCATATACATATAGCATTGATGGTAGCAGCTTTAAGCAGTTATTGTACAGAAATGCAACTTAGTCTCCTTACGATAACGTCAACTTTTCTTTTTGAACTTTATCCTTTCGGTTTGAATGAGTGACTGAAGACTGACACCAATATGCATAATCAAATGCATTATAAACAATTCATCTTTTTGCAGTTCAGCAACTTGTACCTAAAAAGCTCAAGGTCATTACCAAGTCAGAAAGTGTCCCATGGGGATCAAACATTTTCCAGGATGGCAGACATGCCCTGGTGTTTGTCAGCTTTAATTTTTCCCTTCTGTGCCAACAGTTTACATTAGCAGACGCATTTTACATTTAGAAAGCCTCTTGTCCCTCCTTGTCCATGTTTCTCCCTCCTTCCTAACTGCTAAGTCATCTCATCTCCATAATTCAGCAGCCAGATACACAGCTGCCTGGCAACGTTCCGAAAGCTACATTTCATCTCTAAACAAAAGGGTGAAGGCAAAAATGCTGCAGCTAATGGCTGTATAGTTTGCCAGCCAGGCATACAATCATATCTTCATCATGTCTGTATCATTTTCGCTTCGCAAGCCCAACTTCAAGCCTAATTTCTCGCCATTAATCACCATAACGCAACTGCAGACAGGCTATTAAGAGGAGACAGGAAAAAAAACAATCTTCCCTAGAGATAAGCAGAGAATAGTGAATGACTGTGCTGAGCGTATGGAGATGTTGCAGGTGAGGACAAAGTGGTAACCAGAACCGACAGGACTGGTGACTGAAGCGGAGAAAATTAATGAGGATTTGAGCTTCAAACTAAGTCAAAAACTGATAGGAAATTTTAAGTGGAGGGACTTTTAATTAACTCAGGATGTGCTCGCAGGTCTGTATATTTTAACTCTTGTGGAAATAGTGGTAAAAGCTGTGATAATGCACAGGCTTTGCTCCATACATTCAGGGATTAACAGGAAAACGCAGTCAGGAATATTAAATGTTCCATATGGACGAGCCCGCCGTCACTTTTCCTCGTTCATTACCTTCAGTTTATCTTCTTTGCACACACTGACACTTTTACATCTCATATGTTGATTACTGCACACACTCCACCACAGTGACAATATGCGCTCCACCAGCTCTTCCCTCCGTCACCGACCATGTTAATCAGCATTGATATATACCATAAAAATGCCAACAAAGCTGAACTTATAGTAAAGACTGAGCACACTGCAGTCAGTGTCAAGCCTGCCAGGAAGCCAGAAATATCTGCTGAACTCACTGCACCAGTGTCCCACCCGGGACCAGTGCAAAGGCTCTGAAGACAAAGGCCAAGGAAAATACAATGCAGTTTTGTTGGTGAAGTTTTTGGAATTTGGTCCAAACAAATAAAAAATGACAAACATCTCTCGGTAGACTTTATCCATGGTTAAAATCTTCTCTGTTTAAATTCAAGACCTTGTTTGACTCAAACTTTATTTTTGTAGTTTGGTCCATCAGTCAGATCTCTTATAACAACACCTAGGTAAAGTGGGAACGCACCGAGATCCAGCAGATGTACGATCATACAGGTTAGCCAAATTTATATGGAAAAGATGAACTGTAAAAGTATTATCCAAACTTGGGAGTCAAGCTACCACTACAATCTGCAAGAGAGGGTCATATAATAACTGGCAAATACAGAGACTATTATCATAGTACCTTCCTTTAAATTCTTAACATGAGGGCGTTAAGCCGACTCTAATATCTCACACTAACTGTTTCGAAAGTTTAGCTGGAAGAATTTAAGATTATGAAGAGGAAACAGCTGGATGCTGTTTCCTTAGAAACACAAAAAAACTTTCAAATATCACTTTGCACTGAAATGTAACCATGGTAACATTAAAGAAGTGCATAAAACAGCATCATTGAACCCACAGCCAGTGTGCATCAGATTAGCTTGCTCTCAGTAAGATCCAACATAGTTCAAGGGCACAAGGTTCCTGTGAAAGTAGGGATTTTTGGCAACATTTTGGCATCCTTTAAAAGAGAGATAAAATAAAATACGACGACAAGTCTGCTTGGAATTCCAAGTCTAGAGCCCAAATGGTTAGAACATTGTTATTCCTTCTACACCCACCTCTTTGACCTCCAGCAGCCGACCTGGATACTGACTCTTGGCCCGCCGAGCTGCAGCCGGAGATTTGTGGTGGGTGATGGTGACGATGTTGCTGGGTGTGGCCGTGTGGCCCAGGTGCCTCTGGGAACCCGGGGATGATGATGGGGTTAGGTGGGGGAGGAGGGAGAAGCTACGGGTCCGACCAGAGGATGAGGAGCCCTGGGGGGAGGGATGGAGGGAGGAGGGGGGGGAGGAAAAGGAGAGAAAGAGTTGTGTGGGAATTTAAACATGACATGAGAGTGATAATGTAAAAAGGTAGAGAAACAACAAGACCAATTCTGATTCTCCAGTAAGGAACCTCTGGTTTCTATCCTGCCAATTGAATCAACTTTTTCCACAAAAAATAGCCACAGCGCTAGTCAGTACCAGTGACCTAATATTGGCCAATCCAAGTTTGTGTTGGTCTTTTTTTTTTTTTATTAGACATCTCGTGCACTCTAACCATCTGTTTTTTTATTATGAACAAAGTTAGTCAATTAAGGCAAACTAGTTAAACTTCTAACAAAACTAAACCTCTAAGCTCCCTGTAATGCTAATTTAAATAAACCAAGTGGGTCACCAAGCAGCATACAGTATGGTAGGTATACCAAGGTAGAAAAGACTCCAATGGGAACTTTTATTTTTTTTGCTTGGGGAATGACTAAAAATAAAACAATACAATTATAAAAACTGCTGAGCAACATCATGTTATGATTATTTATTTGCATGTAATGGAGGTATCCATATTTATTTGTCTGTGTGCATGTGTGTCTCATTGCTGCTGTTTACCAATACTCTGTGAAAGTAGTCTTGAAATACATGTTTTGGAAAACACATAATGTAATCTCATCAAAAGGTTCAATACAGACCACTTGATTTTAAAAGTACAGGGAGGGTTACAGGATTTCTTCTGAAACTTGGGTGTCCAAAAGAAAGAATAACTTGACACCACACTGAAGGTTCAAGCGAGTTTCACACATGCGGTCAGAAATGTGCTTGAAAATGTGAACATGTAACCACACCCAACAGTTTTGTCACGGGGTGCTGGAGTACACCTGCACATCGCTCTCACCAGGTGAGAAGCTAAACCATGGAGGTCAACAGAACCAGGGTTGATAAAACAAGAAAAATCCACAAATTTCCAGAGAGCTCAATAACTCTCCCCCAGTTAACTCATTACTCAAAAACATTCGAACCTAAAAAAATAATGCAACTAAATTAAATGGACTACAGCAGTAGGTGCCACTTAAAAGTACCAAAAGGTAGTCATCCCTTCTGTCGTTTTGTTTCTCTCTGAGCCAAAGCGAAAGTCACATCACATCCATCAGTTTAACGCCTCCTCCGCTTCCCCTGTGCGACTCTTGTCTCTTCAGTTCGCTGACCTCTGTGCTCGCACAGGCAGCGATGTCAGACCAGTAACTCTCTCCTCTGTCTTTACTCTCTATTAGCTTACAGCAGCACAGAGAGTCAAGACACCAGAGATTTATCCCCCAGAAGAGCACAGAGGTCTGGCCGCTGCAGCCGTGAAAATGAAATAGATCAAATAAACAACTTCCATCTCAGAGCGCTGCTCGCTGAGAGACACACAACCTGCATTTGGGTTTTTTTTTTTTTTTGTTTGTTTTATTTTGCTCTGCGGTAACACAGGAAATCAAATCTATGACTAATGTGGGGTTGTAACATAATGTCACATATGATTAGCAGCTAATTGCTTGTTATTCTGCTCCTTTGAGCAGTTTATAGAGCGAAATAACCACATTTTGACAAACAGACAAGAGATCATGTTAATACAGCTGTAAGAACACTCTCCTTGTGATTAGATACAGCCAAACACTAAACAGAGCGAGTTGTAACAGGTAAGTCCTTGTGTAATCATTTTAACAGGAAATAATCAGCTTACAGGAGAGAACACTGCTGTATTGTGCAAAGCTGAGCCACGAGCTGTGAGTAAGCAGAAAAGGAATGGTGTGTTTAGGGAGTGCGAACAGACCGGCAGACATGCTGAGGTTTTGTCCTCCAACGCTGGCACAGAGCCCTGAGCGTCTCAAGAAACAAACGGAAAAGAAGATGTCCGACCAAGAAATTTCAAAGAGGAAAAGGAAAGGAGGGGCAGTGATGGAAGGAAGGACAGAAGTACAGTACAACACACACAATATAAGTGCTGTAAACAAACAGCACAAAGTCACGATCTATCAGAGAAGGGATCAATACATATCAAATAGAGCCGTGTTTCTTGCACTTTTTGGCTTGACCCCTTAAAATGGAGCAATGTCTGCTTGAGACCCCTGGTCACAGGTTCTGGCCTCAGTGTGGACATGAGCTGTCAGCAGTTTCTCTTGTCAGACTGTTTTAATTTGAAGGTTAGTTAGAGGTCTAAAGACAAGCAAGTGTGCAGCACTTGACAAAAATACAATTTGAAAAGAGTCAGGAAAAATTAACTATATTTTCATATTCCTTTCATCATCCCCGATTAAAATCTCCCTCTTATCAAGTTCTCAAATTTTCTTCAAACAAGTGAAACTACAATTACCACCTCACACTTTTATGTGCACGTTTGAAGGAATTCCCTCGAGGCGTTTCTGAGATATTGCGTTCTCGAGAATGGGTATACGCACATGGATGGACAACCCAAAAACTCAAGGCCTCTGGCCCTGGCTGTCACCAGACCGGAGGAATAAAAATCTGCCAGTACAATTAAAATCGGTTTCCAACAGAAACAAACTTGTTTCAAGAATTTTCTAGAAATGAGCGGCTGTGTCTTGAAACAAGAAAAAAAGGTTTTCGGACTTACTTGAAACCAGTTTATTTACATTAGGAAAAAGTAAAGAGAAGAACATATTGTCATTATCTATTGAGGACTCAAGCTCAAGGAAAAAATTGGTTTGAAGAGGATTTTTTCCAGGTGTGTTCCAGTTTGCAGTTACCTCTGACCCCACAGTGGGACCCACTCTCAGAGTAAAATTAGATATTTAAAAGATTATACGACAAACATATCAACAATAATTTTTTCACAATTTTACTGCAGATTAGACACCATTGGTAATTTAGAGCCATGACGCGACTTTGGCCTTTTAATCTTACAAAAGAGGCGGGATCTGTTCGCTCCCTGACAGCCTGAGCTCAGGGTGAAAAAAAAAAAAAAAAGCCCTGACGCTGGATTCTTCACAGGTGCTCTGCTGTCACTCGACCGTAGGCGGACTTGGCCCCCTGTGAGGCAGCGTGGGTAGACGATATAACGGTCAGCTGCTTACCTGTCATTTTCTGCACCACGGGGAACAAGACTAATTACACACAATTAGCTATTCAGTAATAACCTTGGTTAGAGGGTTTGAAAATAGTTTTTAAATACCCATAAACAGATAAATTTAGTATGAGAAAAAGTGAAAAAGTTTTGATCTGTTTTAGGCCTAAACATTTATTATAGGGGAAAAAGTCAACGCAAATTAAATTATTTTAAGTGGGTTCGTTTTTTCAAACCATGTTTCAACATATAAAGATATTCCTACTGTAGCCAAAACTGAGTTTGTGGCCCAGGAAAGACAAACACAGCAGTGGGCTGGGCAGCGCATACATAAACTTTCTTTATTCAAGCAGAAAATAAACAACATTACCAGTCCAACTCAAAGTCCACAGTTTGACTCTGTGCCCTTCCTGTCAGGAGTTTTTGTGTGCGTGTATAGTCTCAGCTTCACAACAAAACAGTGAACTCGTGGTCACTGGCCTATTTATCAGGCTGCTAATCAGCTTGATAACCAGCTGTGCTCACTGCCTGACTGAGCAGACCCCTGTCTCTCCATCTGCAGCAACACCACACACTCACACCACACGTGATGCACCTGTGTGTGTGTGTGTGTGTGTGTGTGTGTAAAATGAAAGATTATTTTAATGCTCTCTTCTTTTCCTCTGTCATTAGGTGCGTTTCCATTCTCCTGGTTTCATGTACATTTTCAGTTTGCGCATGAAAAAAGTTTTTAGGCTTGGCTGAGAGAAAAACTGGTGTGTCAATAGAAGCAAAATGCGACAATGTGCAATGGAAACAGACTTAATAACCTTATAATGTCCTATGTCAGAAAGGGCAATTTTTGAGGTTATAGTTTGTGAAACAATTTTACAATAACCAAATATTTTCATGTGCTTGTTATTTTGTCCACCCCCCAGGTCTATCCACAGGTAAAGTACTGTACTACAATATATATATGCTGAGAGAACTAGCACATCAACATACTCCTGTTTGTTCCTCTACCACATCAACTTCAAAATAAAAGCCCCCCCAGAGCAAAGTTTGAAAAATGTATTTACTGCACCCGTTATCGATCAGCAGTATGAGTCAGTGCCCGCTTTCATTCAGTTTCTCATAAAAATGAACCCCTGGCCTTTTTTCTAATAAATAAATCTTGCTACACCTTTTCTGCCAAAGCGGCCTGAGATCAGAGATGTAGCAGAGTCTCCGCCGCTGGCTGCCTCATCACCAGAGTGGCTGCGATAATGATCTGAGAGGCAGACAGTGCAGCTAAGGGAAGGATTAGACCCCAGCAGTGGGTATAGTAATAACAGCAGCTGCTGTGGAAATGCTCCACAGTCACCGAACAGGAACAAAACGCCCGCTCAGCTCCACAGGGCAGAAGGAAAAAGAAAGAGAGAGAGACCCTCTTCCTCCTTCCACTTCTACTTGCTTATCCAATTTTCTCCCATCTTTTGATTGCTTTCCTCATCACGGCTGAGCAGAGTAATTGGACTTTCCTGTCGTTCCAGCTGTGCAGCAGTTTGAAGTGGTGAAGAGCTACATGTTGAATGAGCCGGCAATGAGGCAGCATAATGAGGCTGTAGTATTTAATTGTTTAAAAAGACAAATGAAAGAGTGTTTTTGGGAAGAGCAGTCAGCACGAGAAATAAAATGTACATTAGAGGACAGGCAGGGCTTTCTTTCTCAGTTCTGTTGTTTGAAGGTAAACTGTGTTCCTACAGTATAGGGAAACTTCGGTGCTCAGAGATGTGTGTGGTTGTTGACTTACCAGCACCTCCTGGCCGCCGCCTCCTCCTCCTCCTCCTCCTCCTCCTCCTCCTCCTCTTTCTACACTCAGGTGTTCATCTGAGCCCTTCAGCTTCCTCACCTGAAATCAAACACAGACACACACAGGAAAATTAAATGAATCATTTCAAGGAGAAAGTTGTAATTGCCTCCATCAGGGGTCACTGAATGGTCTGATGAGTATGAAAATGATGTGAATCATATGCTTTAGCCTTCAGTCCCTAGATCTTAATCCAATTAAACTAAACAGACATTGAAGCTGTTGTGGCGGCTCGCGTTGAGCACAACTTCTTCCTGCAACACTTTATCTTACTTCTTTACCTTTAATTTGTATTGTAACCTCTCATTCAAATACTCATACACTGTACAGTACAGGACTCATATGTGCTTTACATCATTTCATAACCTAATTCAAACAAATCTAACTGATGAGTAAGATCATTTCCCCCGTTTTACTTTCTCTCAGTTGAGTTGTTGTGTTCTTTTATTTATATTTTTATTCCTCTCCCTATCAGTGTCGAAGCTATAACTGAAAGTATTTTGAGGAAAACAACGTTTCTATATTAGATCCTCTGAACAATCCCATGCCTACCACTCAACTTAAAATTCCCTCCGTCTCCGACAGCTTTACTACACAGTAGGAGTTTCATTTGACTAGTCGACTAATACACCCACTAGTTGTCACAGTGGTCAACAGTTAGCCAGTCACAGACACTATGCTTTTAGCCACAATCACCAGTTAAAAAGCTAATTTGTAAAATATCTTGTGTCTCATGTAAAACATTTACACTTTCCTCATATTTGCAGTACGCCATCTCTCTTATGTTTTTAAATGGGTTGGACGAAGCAGTAGAAATGGCTGTTAATTTAATGCAATCCAGTACAACCAAACCTCCAAGTACGAGCTTTAGAAGAGAGTTTAATCAACACTTCTCTGACAGGGTCAATAAAAACCAAGCTTCATTTCACAAAGCTAGGATTTACAGAATAGCAGGTCAGTTGGGCTGAACTTTGTTCGATTCCACAGATGCCCGTAATAAACTGGTAACTTGTTCATTTTTCACAATGATGAACATCAGTGTTAATCTCAACTTTATATGGCTTCAATATACACAAGTCACCAAGTGAACTCCAGAGGATAGAAACTCAGCTCAAATCATAAATCCCAACAACATCCGCTTCATAGCATTCATAGCTGCAGCAAAGACCAGAAAAACCTACTTTCACAGCTTCAACGTACAAAGTCAACTTTAATGGTAAAAGTTTGCCAAAGAAATAATAAAGTTTGGATTATTTCTCTCCTTCATGCGCTGCTGATTTTCACATTGTCACGATCTGCTGTGGAGCTCCAGGAGGAGTTCTATAACAAGCCTCATTCTCCACTGGATCAGGCGAATGGGGATACACCCCACAGAGATACAGTCAGTGCACACACATACACACACACACCGTCTAATCCCTTGAAGCCCACGCTAAACCCCAAAAAAAAAAAAAAAAAAAAAAGCACATGCCCAAATATTAATCCATGAAACCCACATAAAAAAGACTAGTTGTAGATAAAGGTACAGTAGTTATATTACATCCTACACAGTAATCTTTCAGAAATGAGCCCACAGAGACATGAAGAGGACAGTGATGCCAAGAACATTTAGCTACGCACTCATCCTCAAATAAAGCAGCAGGAGCATGCTAACCCGTCTTCCCTAAATTCACTAAGTCTTGTCAATGGAAGTGCTGAAAATATTCTCAAATTAGACAAGCAAGTGAAGTTTAATATGGCACATGGAAACCGAGCTCTCAGTTGGCTGTCAGCCCTGGATCATTATATCTTTTACATTTTATCCTTTATTTTTCTATGTTACATGTCTCATTGCTCACTCTTTTGTATCTTTTTTAATCTTATTTTTCATATGTTGACTGTTTTTGAATTTTAAATGCATTTTATATTTGCTTGTCTTTTTTTTTTCCTTAGTTTGTTTATTTTTTGAATGGGGAAGCTTAGACATTGACACATTTATTAATTAGGAAGCATTACTGTCATCTGCAGAGACACGGCATTTATTTCGATGACATTTATTAACATCTACGACTGGGGATTTGCTCTATTTGTGTTCATAGGGACGAAATGAAAGGGAGTCAGAAAATGAAAGAAACCTCTGAATAGCACATGAAAGAAAATGATGTGGTGTATTGAGACCAAACTCCCCCATGAGTTGACTCAGTACTGTTGCTTTCATGTTAAAATATTTGAAAACGCTTTGGTCATCTGTTTGAGTTCTTTCATCTCTTCCCAAAAATACTAAGTAATTGGTAAACGAACATCCTAATATTAGCTTTCTGAAATTCAAGATACAGGAGGCCAACAGATTTCTCCCACTATATTTCTACCACTGTATTAAAACAACACGGTTTTAAAGTAGGCTACAGGAGGCTGCTGTAAGTACGTCATAGAAAAGAACATCTAGTTTTAGTGGGTCAAGATGCTGAAACAGGACAGGAGGCGATAGAGAAAACACTTGTTACACGGTCTAATCAAAAGAAATCAACTAACAGAAAGTCACTATAGCATCACAAGCTAGCAAAGTTTTAGGGGCTAAAATATGTAAAACTTAATTGCTACTCATTCATAAATATAGTTATTTGTTTTATTAATGTATGCATATATTTATATAAACATACATTCATAAAACAAGTAACAATTATTTTCTCATGAACAAATATGTGTTTTAGACTTAAGTAGTATTAATATTAGTAGTGGAGTAGTAGAGATATCCAATTACGCTAGCATAGCTAAGTGATGCTATTCAGTCGAATGTTATTAACATAAGATTTTGTTGCTTTTGTGAAAAGTAATTTAAAATCATCTTATGAACAGAATTTTGATCCAATGTCTGGTTAGCTATGTTGACCATATTTCATTAGCTTTTGCTTTTACACTTAATAATAAAAGTCTTTTTATTGATTTTTCATATTTACACAATACAACAAACATCCCATTCTGAAGAAGACAATAGGATTCCAAAAATATACCACATATACAAGTCTAAACTACAGACAAAACAGAGGATACTAATAGCAGACATCAGACATACCCACCACCTATGTGGCCCAGACAATCTCAGATTTGGAGCACATGAAAAGTCATGCCTCAAAAGGCTGCCAGACCTTACAGTACCTCTTAGTGTCGCCCTGCAAAGTAGATCTAAGGTGCTCTAATTTAAGGTGTGCCATCACCTCCTCTACCCATCGTTTATGAGATGGCGGTGTTGCCTTTATCCAGTTAAATAAGATCAGTCTCCTGGCCAATAATGATGAGAATGCTATTGCTTTCCTTTGATTAATTGTTAGTTGTGCTTCCCCTGGTGCCACACCAAAGATGGCCGTCAGAGGACTGGGCTCTATATCCTTATTATAAATGGATGAGAAGGTTCTGAATATTTTGGCCCAGAACTCTTTCAGCCTAGGGCAAGACCAGAACATGTGACATACTGTATGTTGGCTGGCACCTGTTTATATCTTGGGCAAGTCGGGTCAGCCCCCCGAAAGATTCTTGCCAGTTTGTCCCTTGATAAATGAAGTCTGTGGAGCACCTTATATTGTATCAACCCGTGTCTAACACATACAGAAGAAGAGTGTATCAGTTCCACTGCCCACCTCCAGTCAACATCTGATATGTCCAACTTTAACTCTTCCTCCCATTTCCTTTTTTATATAATCAAGGGATGGGGAAGCCACCCTCTGGATATTCTTGCTTTTACTCTTAAACATTTTTGTTGGTTAGCTATTGTCTGGTTGTTACTGAGAGTAAATATAATCTCCACATAAGAACTAGTTAGTGTGGACCGTGAATCTCCAGCTAGTTAACACTTAACCTTTTAAAAAGCTAAGTTTGAATTTATGAATGGGTAGTGAAAGTGTCAGTTCAAGTCTTCATAGAAAAAACAGGTCATGTTAGAGGGCCAAAAAGAAGACAGGAGGAAAAGCCAGGAAAGAAGACCGGTGTCACTGAAAAATCTTTTCACAGCTTTAAAACTCACACGATACATGGTTAAATGAGACTTGTGAGAGATTATGCCATTTAAAATAACAAAAAGGCATTTAAAAAAAAAAAAAAGAAATCCGTCACATTCACACTCACTAAAAGCCAGGTGACTAAAAGCAGAACAGAAAGAGAGCGAGGCCTTTTTGGGAGTGTACAAAGGGTTTTCACCTGGAAGAGGACCTGCTCCTGTGCGCAGACTGGCAAACTGTTTAACTCATGAACCTGACCTGAGTTTACTGGAGTGAGAAACTGGCACGGTCACAATTTTAAACAGACACACAAGGGGACAGGAATCTCCAGGGAAATGTCAAGGCTTTCCGCTCACTTCTCTTCCTGAGCAACATGCGCCAAGAGCTTGGACCAGGGTCATGTTTACAATTTAGTTACAGTGTGTGTGTGTGTGTGTGTGTGTGTGTTAGTTTTACCTTGGCACTGCTGTCAGAGTGACGTCTGGCACACGCTTGGAGCTGAGTGATCCAGAACTGCTGCTCTTTGGCGTCGGACGCTACAAAGACACACAACAAAAATAAATTAATATAATTACAAGAATTAACTTCCTGAACACACAAGACACTGAGAATCACCAATAAGTCCTCACATGAGTTCACAGTTAGGTCAATATGCAGTTATGGGAAAGTGTCTCCACATCCACAGATGGTTACCATGCACTTACTGTAAACAGCAGCTAGAGGAAGGAGACGCTTGTGATCACAAGATGATTTTAAAATTGTAACGATGCTGTAAACGGATCATTTAACAAACCAACAGTTTCAGTGTTAAATTAATTGATGGAAACTTCCACAAATGAAGTGAAAAGAGCGAATGCTGCATTTCTGTAAGTTTGAACGATTTTTGCGAGTTTTATACTTTTTCCTTACTTTTTTTTTTATTATACTTTAAGCCAAAAAATAAATTAATAAAACTGGCCATACTTAATCTCCATCAGAACTCTATTATACTGTGGGGAAAACCTTTCAGATTTAATAATTTAACTTTTCAGTTTAGGTCAAATGTAGGTTATCTGTCAAATTCCACGTAATTAATAGTTTCCTTTTGGTGTCTGGTTCAAACTCACTAAGCAGGGAATGAGGTTTGGCTTTGAAGAGATTTGAACTCATGAGCTCAGTATTTCTGAAATCCTGGGTACAGCCTTGGTCTGGACAAAGATATCAGGTATTTGTAGCACTAAATACAAAATTCATATCTGCTGCAACCCCCTGTAAATCTCTTTAGCTGTAATATCATAACAACAGATTAAACCAGCCTGAACCAACACAGCAAAAAGTGATTTGACCCTGAACATGGTCTACTAAGAGGACAAGTGGCATGAGATGAGGCTGAAACACAAAAGTAACTGGAGCAAATTAACCCATACATATATATATATATATACACACACACAGAATTTAGGGCAGGAGGTGGGTGAATGAGGTTTCAAGTGTGGCTTTATTTCTGCCTCTCTAGCCAACAGTTTAGAGAGGTAAAAGTTGCCAAGAGTTAAATGAGAAGATCGATAGCACTGTCATATCCGTCAGTTCAACAGCGAGCCTGGATTTTCCCAACAGTTACAAAATCTTCCCAACAGCCTCTCTAAAGCTCATCAGCAAACAATTTGAATCCGTACAAAACCTGAAGTGTAAATATGACAAATTATCTCTGAGCTAACTAGCTGCTGGCTGTAACATTAGCTTCATATTTACCGTACAAATGTGAGAGTGGCATCAACTTTCTTGTCCAACTCTAGGTAAGAACTTGAATGAACTTATTTGCCAGAATGTTACAATGCATTCATTTGGTCCACACATTACTACTCACACTAAATGCAAACAGTTCCTTTAAAAGCAAACTGTAGACTTCATAAAATGACCGGGGAAGCAGCATGCTCCTCACAGAACAGGTTTACAGTTGGAATAAAAGCCAACACCAGGGTTTTGAAGTAATTTAAAGAAAATGACTGCAGTTTGGACAAAAGGGGATGAGGGCATCAGTGAGGACAACCTGCTGGGTGCCAGTAATCTCATTTGCCACCAAATGATGATCCAGCTTGTTCACAGTCTACCTGACCACTTGATCCTGTTGCCTTCTGAATGATGTCCTAAGGGCTCATATCACACCTAACCCTCTTCACTTTCTCCTCCACGGCAAATTGAACATTCGGTATTCAAGATATAGCAGCAATTAATTTGGCCAATTCGCAAGTGGCACAGGACGCAGCTTGATACTCGCTGCTTGCTTGTGGTTTTCCCCTTGGCACAGAGACCTGCTATCTGAACACAAATAGCCAGTTGAAGCCCAGACTTGATGACTAACACAGCGAGCCGCAGGCCTCCAGTTAAAGGAGATGCTGACTGTCTGCTTGTGCTGACCTGCTGCAGGTCAAATGGGAAAATAATATCCTTCTGATCCCATTTCACTGACTAATTATTAGCTAGAACAATGTCTTTGACAAACCTGATAACACTGAGTGTAGGTCAATCCCAACTGAAGCACCAACAGCATAAAACAGTAACAACAGACTGAAACCTCTCCATTGAAATAAACCAAGTAACTCAAAAAAGCATCTCTCAAACCTGCAGGACTCAGTATCAAATCAAACACTTTAAAAACTCACCTAAAAACACCAAGACCCCTCTCAGTGACAAAAGGAAGGTATGTGGCAGGTAATCAGTACACCTGTGCAGAGCCTTGTTTAAGGGTGCGCTTGATTTTGTTACACTGTGTGATCGGGGGTAAGGTGACTACTAATGTCCCGTATCAAATAGCACCTCAATGTCACGCCATGTTTCTTTTTCTTTACTTTATATAGCAATCAAATTTAATCTTCTATGGCACTTACTTTCTAAACACTTACATGATAAATCACAATGATGATTTATGAACCGTGGCCTTAGCCGTTATAGTTTTATAGTTTAAATGCAGATAAACTGAAATGTGATGATTCTCACGCAGGTTCTTGAAGTATAAGAGGAGTCTTTGAGGGAGGTTTATGGAGGTTTATCTGTGATGAACATCAAACATAATGATATCATTGGAAAGTGTAAGTGACACTAAATCTGAACAATGCCTATCATGCCTCTGTGTTCAGATTTGAATGAAGCATGAGCTGTGGCAATCAGGACTGAGGGTGAATGCTCTGCTCCACTGCCAAAGCCGAGCTGCTGTAACTACTGATCGTATTGATACGCAGCCAAACTACAATAAATGAACCATCGTTTCTGTTCCTTTTACCTTACGCAGTATCTTTGCCTCATGTCTCTGCCTTCACAACTCCCCTGCAACTCTCCCACAACTCCCTTACAGTTTGAACCTCTAAAATACATAATAATATAGTATAAACTGCCCTAAAGGTACAACAAGTGACCCAGTTTATAGCAACTTTCACCTGCCCAGTTAAAAAAAAAGTAGCCTAGTTGGGGGTAAAAAAAAAACAGAATTTGGCAACACTGGTTACAAAATCAAGTTACACTCCTTTTAGCAACAAATTCCCTCTTTGTTTTACTTTTTATAAATTTGTTTTACTGGAGTTTAGCAAGGATCTCTGTGGAGACACCAATAGGGGACTTAAAAAACTACAAAAAAAGACTTGACTTTATTTTGAAAGATACACTTGATTTGTCTAACTCAGACTTCTGAAGCTTCATGTTAGTTTTGGCTAAATTTAAATTCTGCACAGAACAGAAAACAGGAGCCAAATGCAGCATGTGAGTTTTGTTTTATAATAGACTTTAGAATTTGAACCAGTCCTTTAATATTGGCATCAACACGATCAGTCATCAATAATAGGTGTTGTGAAGTCTGTGCAGATGCAGGCTTCATCGGAGGGTGCATCAAGGGCTCATGGCAGCACTATGCATGAAAACAGGAACAGCACATCCTGAGCGCTGAATGTGCACATTAGACCTGAAACACAAGACAACAACCTAACACTTAAATACAGGTTTACCAAACACATCAGGCTTCATTCAGACCCAGACTACTGCATTAGAACATTTTGTGCTGGGACACAAATTATTTTAACTCGGTTTGAAAGTAAAATAAAACACACATATGCTAATGACAATACTGAGGCTTAACTCTTTATTCCCTAACTAAAAATATTTTCTATTTAAATGCCTATTTTCACATACATCTCAATTATGCAGCTTAATGAAAAGGTTAGATTTAAAAATTTATATCAAAAATAGGGATTTACGCAGTTCATTTTCTCTCCCAACAACATACCTCAAGTTTTTAAAATCTGTTTAACTGTGTAGAACTGACTGGGATCATTTTAATGTAAAATAACATGAGACCAGACTGTTGGTGGACTAAAAACTGAGTTACGTTATTCTCAAGACTGTGTGAACCTCGCGTGTCACATAACCTGGTTCCTCTAAAACATACTGAACCCTTTAATCCACTAAATTAGATTCCAGTCTGGTTCTCAGATTTTTTTCATTTCAGTATTTTTCTCCTGATTTCCCCAAATTTAATACGCAGAAACGCTTTAAATATGAAAATGAATGCAGCACTCTCCTTATTAGTGACTGGCTAACGGGGATGGAGAGCTTCATTAGATGTGTAAGGAATTGCATCACCAAAATGAAACTTTTAAAGTTTTTTTTTTTTCTGTGAAACATACAAAGTGTTTTTTTGACATGTTGATTGAGGTTATTTCAACGTACGGAGAATTCAATTTGCACTTGTCAATCACTCGCAGCGCCGACATCTGCCTTAACACCTACAAGGGTCCTCTTTAAGAGAAGAGGCAACTCTGAGGAAATGAGACGAAACTCTTGACAAGTGGGGCATTCGAGATGTGCTCTCCCACTGGGAGTGGCTGCTCGCCTCTGCGGGGATAACAGAGTATTCATACAGAAACACCTGTACCAAGCTGTCTTTCTGAGAAAAATACCTAGTAACAACCTTTCCATTTTCTTCTTGTCATCATCCACAGAAATCACTCACTCAAAAAGGGACCACTTACCCTGAGAGTGAGCGAGCATCTAAATCTGATATTTTCTCTATGATGTGCACAAGCCTAACTGTGATTAAAGATAATTAGCTTTCTGGATTGAGCACAGCAGCCTCCTCGTGTGGCTATGCTAATATGCACCTGCTCATACGGTGACGCAAGAGATATGCACACTACTTAGCCAAGAGCGGGGCGTGCTGTTCTCATTCAGGGAGAATACTATGATACTGATGAAAAATTCAAAGCTGGTTTTGTGTCACAAGAGATTTGGGAGGTGACATGCTGACACTTCTATTCGTTTGATGAATGCACTGGGTTTGCACTGGAAACCAAGGGGACTAAACGATGAAATGAAAAGCGTGTCCGTCTGCCTGTTTAAAATGAGTTACAATAGACAGCCGTCCTGGTCTGTGCGTCTTATTTAAATGGCTATATGTATCCAAGAGAGACGGCTGAACGATATCTGAACATTACTGAGAGAGAGAAAGAGAGAGAGAGAGCGAAAAACCTCCTTCCCAGTCAATCACAGCACCACCATCACTGTCTAATTACACCCATTTTAATTACAGCGCTGTGAAAGATGTTATTGGTTATGATAATGGTAAGTCTGAGGATTAATGCTTGGACCAGCAGTTAGATTTGATTAAAGTGCTGATAGATATTATGAGCGTGACACTTTCAACGTATATGTCAAGAAAATAGACAGGCTGATAGGTAGGAGAGGTTAGAAGAGCGGCCCAGCAATTAAAACAACCAGCATTTTCTCGTCAAAATCACATAATACAGTTTGTTCCCTGTGATTATTCTTACTAAGTAACACTATACTAAACGCAAAAAGATAATTTGTTGTAATTTTAGGTTTAAGTTTAATTAATAGCTTTTATTCACTCATGATCAAAGTGCTGCACCTCACCATGCTGCTCATTTCTATCTTTTATGCAGTTTAGCAAAGGGGACCTGAATGTCATATTTAAGCAGAATAGATGGTACTTTACTGATATTTGCTACCAATGTATAAAAAGAAAAGTGAGAGCTCACCACAGATTTTTATTATATATTTGCTGAGAGTCCGATGAGGTCGATACGTTTTTAATTTCTGTGTTACCTATGAAGTTGCAGCCAGTGGCTGATTATCTTAGCTTAGCTTAGCATTAAGACAGAATCAAAACAAACCACCCAACTTCATAAAACCAAATTTACATTTCTGTTTTTGTATAGATTCAACAAATGTGATTTAACACATTACTTTACAAAATTTAGAAGTGTTGGTAGGCTGATTTTGTTACCTTTAGCCAGAGCCAGATTACCTGTATCCCACTACTTCCAGCCTTTAGGCTAAGCTAAGCTAATCATCTCCTGGCGCTAACTCATATTTAACTTACAAATGTGGGAGTGGTATCAATCTTCTTCGTCTCAATCTATCTCTTGGCAAGGAACAAGTGCATCAATATACAATGGAGAGGATGTTTTGACATTTATAGCTTGCTGTAAAATCTATTTCCCACTTGTGGTCCATATAAATTCAATATCATAACTGATGTGTATCTGCTAACAGACAAGCAAGACAATAAACCACCAACTGCTCACACAGAGGAAGTCACTCTGGATAATCACAGCAGCCGAAAATGTCATCTACAGTTAAGAGGGGTCATCGAAGGAAACCATATAAATAGTTTGCCGTAGCAAATACTAGACATATTTTGGTAGATTTGTAGTGTATTTGTATTTTTATGTATTGATAGATTTATAATAATCGATAATGAGGACAGATTACTGCATCAAAACACTGATTCTGATGCACAATAAAGATTGTGTGGGGCATTTTAATAAGCTCTGCTGAACACAACTTGACCCTTTCACTAGCTGACTGTCTCACTGAAAAGTCGGATGATAAATAGCTTAATTTGCCATCCGAGCATTCAGACATGATTAAATTCCCGCCGCTCTTCACCTTTGCTCGGCAGCAAAACACAAGTCCTGCAGTCTCCTTATATCCAATAAAGCATACTCCTCTTATATTCCTCTGCTTTAGCTAATTACACTGTGCTCCTTTGGTGTAGAGCCAAACCTCAGGCTACTTTACAGATGTGTTAGATGTCACGTGTAATGGATCAAATTAGACATTCTTGCATTTATAGAGAAATATCATTAAGCGTTGAGATCAAATGTTGCATAGAGGGTGGCAACAGTGATGTCAGAACTTATATAGAGAATGTAAATAACATATATACTGTATATATATATATACAGTATATATGTTATTTACATTCTCTAGCAGATGATAAATTATGATTCAATTGGCTACCATGCTTTCCATAATAAAGTTAGTATTAAAAAAAACTAATAAATGTCATTGCATGCATTATGATGGAATGAGCCATCCAATCACCTACAATCTCCAATTTTAATTATTATGTTATGTCATTATGTTATACAAATATTTCACAAAAAATTCAAACTATTTCCAATGTCAACAGTCAACCTTTAATCTCAATGAATAATATTCTGCTTCTATCTTTACTACGTCAGGCATTGTCTTTTACTGCATTATCTTTGATTTTTAGCTTAGCTTTGATATTTAAATAGCTAGGTGGTTTTGTTTTTCCCCTGAAAATGCCGAGGAGTTAAGGCACTTTTCTCAGCCCACAGAGGTGTCTGCTGGTTTCCCAACAAGCTGCATTTAGCACCAAATCCACCAAGAAGGTAGGAGCAGCTCTAATGCTGCCTGAGAGGCAAAATCTGGGATGAAAAACCCAGCGGATCACTAGTGCTGCTTGTAAAGCTGAAATGTTTTAAGTGTAAGGTGTAACTGATAGAGACAGCATTACAATCATCTGGATTTTGGCAGTTGGAGAGTCAGAGGACTCATTCAGTCATCTTTTAGTCAATGAATCAAACTGAAACTGCAAAAGTGACTGGGACATGTCTGTACCGTCGCTTCTGCATTAGCTACAGATTACAGTTGGCGATAAAGACAGTTGTTCAAAACAGTCTTGTGAAAAGGCATCAACCTTAGAATAAAGATGACATTTAAAGCTTTGGACACAGAGCCCATCTGTGAGATCAGCTCACAAGCTAAGCCTGAAAAACTGGAAAATGAGTCCTGACTGAACTTTGAAGTCACTCTTTTCCCCAGTCAAGGTAGGCTTTTCAGCGGTTCCCATGGTAACCAGATCTGAGCGTACCGGCTAATCTTAATCACAGACTGTTGAGGACTCACGTGTGAGCCACTTTGTCCCCTGCTGTTTAAGTAAATTGAAGTTTCTGAGTAGTAATGTTACTATTCCACTGCAGTTATTTTCAGATTTTTTGCTGTTGGGGTCGTTGTGGGTCTTGGCACTAGTTAAACCTCTAAACAAGCTTGGGATTTGCTTGACTGAGCCTTATTCAAAAAAAAAAATCTCTTTTATCGCTCTACAACTTTCTTGATGTTTCTTGCATCTTACTGAAATGAAATGGCAATACCTCTGACTGTGAGCTCCGCAGCCCAGCTCCTCCTTCTCTGTGGGATCATTGTTTCCTCTCAGCTTAATACACATGGATCACTGAGTTATTCAGGGAATATAGGCCAAGTTATTCTGATATCCTCCCCCTCAAGACTTTAAGGGGACATTCCAGTGGTTCAAGTGGAGCAACAGTAAAAAGAAGTCTCTCTTGCATCAGTGGATACAGGTCACTGAAAGCACAGGCCTTCAGCACAGTGACCAGCTGCAGGCTCTTAGTCTGGCACTGGGTCTTAAAGAGATATTTCACTTTTGTTGCAGATTTTTTTCATAGCGTGGCCTTGGAAAAATCATTTCTTAACTGGATCTGCTACTCAGGCATAGAGTGTTGTTATCAAACTGTACGTGTGAGGTTTTTCAAATTCCTTGGATAATAGATATTCAGAAAAATCAAAGAATTAATTTACATGCTGCATTAAACACAAAGTCAGCAATTAACAAAAGGTCTTCAAATTATATTGAAGTTATGGCTGCCATTATTTTTAATTATCAGTTTAGCTGCCAATTATTATAAATTATTGTAAATTATTTTGGCTGTTGCTCAACTGAACTCAGCTCCCTGTGTACAGTCCCTGTAAACAGTCTTTTTAATGTTTGCGCTATCCTGGAACGATCAACAGATCAAGAGGCTGGAAGGCTGGTGGCAATCATGAAGCAATGATCAATGTAAATATGTGAGAAAAAGTTTGATAATGAAAGCAGCATCTGAACAATCGTAGATCTCATCTGGCTTTTTAGCTGCCAAATGCTCCACTATGTTCAGCAGCTAGTTGATAACTTTGTCTTTCTGTTGTTTGATGCAGCGCAAAGTGTGAAATGCTCCTTTAAGACAAGCAGAGCTGCAGAATCACTGATAACTCTTTGTGGTTTCTCCACTATGAGAGAACCCTTTCATATTAAACATAATCATTTATCCATTGTTCATATAAAAATATTGATTAGAGCAGCTTTAAAAGTGAAACACCGCAGCTTTACTTCTATCAAGTGCTTTCCATAACCAGCTGTGCAACGCATTCACAAATACTGGACAGAAAAAAATTCATTCATAACACCCCAGCATGTGCACTGCACTCCAAATGGCTCCAACATAAAACACACACACTGCTGTCAGTGATTGTCCTTTGCCATATATGGGCAGCCTGAGGCCAGCATGAGGTCATACCTCTGAGTTTGTACAGCTCTCCATTGACAGAGTTTACAATGAACATGTGCGGAGCCTCGTCGCTCGGGGTTACAGAGGCGCCAATCAGGGGCAGGGACCCACGGGGCTTCTGGCTTTTCCCCTGCTCGTTGACAAAGTACTGCAGCTGTCCCAACTCTGGATCTAACACAAAGTACCTGCATGGAGGGAAAACAGACACAGAGAGAGGGAAGTTAAGAAAGTAATGAACCAGAGAAAAAGAAGGGGGAGAGAGAAAGAGAAGAAGCACCGTTAATGTTATCATCATATTGTTTTATGTTCTCATTATCTGTATCTTTTTTCTTTTCCTGTTGCACTAACTTTGTCAGGGTGTGGGAGAGAGAAGAGGAGGAACACAAAGAGGAGGGCTATGAATGAGTGTGAGATGCCAGAGAGAGCTGCCATAAAAACACACAACGCCTTTAAATTTCTCACCTCCCATCCAACAAAGCCTGCAGGATATTATTTACCACAGTTCTGTTCACGCAAGATTTGTTAAAAATACTCCTCTGTGCACATTAAGGCCTGCTTCCACCAACATCAAGCTGGCATGCTCAATTCCAAATTACTCAAGGTAGCGATTAGCGCGGTCATCTTTAGCAGAACGCACAGCTCCAGGCGTGGAAATTAAACCCCACATTTCCCCCTTTGTGATTAATGAATCACATTCAATCACTGCATAATTGAATCTCTGCCTGGCTCATCGCTGGCTGCAAGAATCAAAACCAGCCAGACCTAACACACACACACACACACACACACACACACACAGAGGCAGAGGCATTTCATTTCCTGTGGCCAATAAGAATTCTGTATGACATTCAAGAAACGGGCCTGTCTGCTCCACTTAACACTTTGTTCTGGTTCTGCAGTTCAGCACAGGCCAGAGTGGCACCGGGTGGCTTTGGCTAACCTTTCCCCGTTTGTGTACTGTGGCCTGAGGTAACAGCGGTTGTCTTTGTTCATGTCTTCTGGTTCAGCACACAGCCCTGTGCCGACCCTCTTTCCCACAAGAGTCACCATTTTAACAATCAATGTTCTCTTTCCATCCACGATTACAGAAGCAACAGTATTGATCAGGCCTCCGTCGAGCTCAGACACAGCTGTTGCCTCTTCCCATCGCCACATCACGGCTGTAGTGATATTTGAAGAGACTGCGAGGCGTCACCTGTATCTCTCAGGTGCAATTTTTATCTTTAAATAGATGTCTCACAGATTTCAAAGAGTAGCAACAGCTGACATCAATCCGCCCTTCATGCTGTTGTCTCACAAACTATACCACTCCTGCTTACTTCATCCATCTCAACAGGCTCGTTGTTTGTCTGTAGAAACGTGCGTTATGTCCTGTTGACGACCCTGCCTTTGCTCCTGGTGCTCCATGCTCTCGTCTTTGTTTGTCACCTTCCGTTATTTGTGGTGATTTTCTTAGCCGGTCATGACACCAGAAATTCAGTACATTCTCACTATCAGTTTATCTGCCAAATGTTTTCTCAATTAACTGATAAAATGTTGGAAAATGGTAAAAAAAAAAAAAAAGCCCATTACAGTTTCCTAAAGCCCAAAGGGACGTCTTCTAGAGCAACTGACAATTGCAATTAATAATTTATCGATTAATAATTTCCCCAGAAAATATTGAAAAATGCTCCAAGTTGACACCAGCTAATTTATTTGACCAAATGTCCAAAACATATTTGTATTACTGTCATAACGGACGAAGAAAAGCGGTACACCCTCACATTAAAGAGCCACCTTCATATTACCAGTTTTGTCCGACCAGGAGTCCAAAAGTCCGCACATCTTCAGTTTGTTAAAAGGCACCAAAACTGCACAACTGAGAAGGTGGATGTAGCTAATGCTTTCCTCCAGTGTCACCATGAGATTTACATTTGCAGTTTTGAGTGAAATGTCTCAACAACTACTGGATGGATTATCAGGAAACTTGGCACAGATCTGCATGTTCCCCTACAGGATGAATTCTAATAACCTTGCTGTAGAGACTGGTTTTTGATTAATCATTTAATCTATAAAACCAAAAAATACCAATAACAAGTTCCAAGATCCCAAGGTGACATGATTTGTTTTGTCCAACCAACATTACAAAACACAAATATATTATATTAATGATTATATAAAATAGAGAAGAGGCAGCAAATCCTTACATTTTAGAGGCTGGATCCATAAATGACCCGATTACTTGAAAATTGTTGTTTGATTAACTAATCTGTTAATCAACTAACTAGAATAACGAACTGGAATATCAGACATTTATTATATATGATAAGAAATGGCATCAGGAATGGCTTCAGTCTTCAAATATGCAAAGGATAAGAACTCCCTGACTGCATCCTTCACATTACTGTGGGCATTTTCCCATGAACCCTCTCTCTAGGAGAGGATGCAGTGAATACTGCTGTCTGAAAATTGATCCCCACTCACAGTCTTGCCTCCTTCCATCAGGAGAGCTGGTGATTTATGTCGACCACAGCCAACCAGGGAACAATGTGCCTGAGTCAGTTTTTATCCAGCCCTATCTTTTTCCCTCTCTCTCTCTCACACACACACACACACTGCACTGTGTATGAAGTCTTATCTGGTGTTCAGTCAGCAGAGTGGAGGCTTTTACCGTTGACCCCTCCGGCCACTTTAGCCTTTGCAGCTAAACCACAATGCAGACCTTTAGCATGATGGATGGTGCTGGATAACAAGCCGGGGCTGACATTACCCGATCTGCGAGGCCGCAGACTCTCTAGGCTGGGGGGGGGGGGGACTTTTAACGTTTGAGAGCATGAGGCTGCAGCAAAGTGGGAAAAATGAAACATAATGATGGACTGATGGAACAACAATGTTTGGCAGCAGCATCACTGCACTTGTTACACCACTTAAAAACATCTCCCTCGCTGAAGTTCTCACCTAGAACAGCACATTTAACATCAGTTCCAATGAAGCTGTTTCAAGTGAAAACTTAGGATAATGAACTTAATGAACTTGGTGAACATATTCATATCGACATATATTAAAGACAACAAACATCTAATATCCCTATTGTGTACGAGAATACGAAACTATCAGGAGGAAATTGAAGAGAGAATCAGGCCTGGGCTATCATCTGGCAAGGTGCTGTGTTTCCCGGTGGCATACAGCACATGCAAGTGCACATTCCTCGTGGATTACTTTGTGATGCAAGTGCTGTATTACTACTGTTTACGTCACAATCGTCACGAGGAAAGATAAAAATGACTGCTGTGATTATTCTGCACAGTTGTAAAATCCTATATTGTAGTTTTACAAGTAGTTTTTTTTTGTTTTTTTTAGCATCTGAAAAACCTTCAAACTCAAGACTGTGTTACTCAAATTTGACTTAGCGGGTCCTGTTTCATGTCTCACTGGTACAACATGCCCCTCACCAATGCAACTCCTTGCAATGTTTTAACACAGGCCTGTTTTCAGTCTGGGCTATGTGAAACTGTGACAGGCATTTTCTGACATTTTATACACTTAGAAAATAATGAAAATATTGTTAGTTGCAGCTCGATTTCCTGATAAAATGCTAAACAACCTGGCAAACTGCAGATATCACTAATTTGTTGTTTGGGTTTCACTGATTTTAGGTCGTGAAGCACAAATTAAGATTTTTAGGCAAAGAAAAAAAATGAATTCAGCAGCTTTTGATCTAAACCGTCCCTGGCTTACAGCTCTGAAATGTAATCACTCATCCACTCAAGAACTGCCATCTGTGACAACAAAGAGCTATCTAATACATTTTTGCTGATATCATTCAAATAAACCAAAACAATAATAACACTGTAAAAAGAGCTTAGTCAAGGACATTTGTCCACATCAACAGAAACACTGCCATTTCCTTATGGCATTAACATTGATGCTGCGGGACATAGCTCGTCAGCAGAAGTTGCATCTCATCCCTCGTCTTTTAGCAGTTCATTCTCAAAAATGCTCGGAGGAACATCGGAACAAGAGAAAAGTGGTAAATCACACCATTTATTGGCAGGAGATGTGACTGATACTTTAACATTGTAATATGATAATGTCTAATAATAATGTCAAAGGTGTTTTGTAAGCCAATATTTTGTTACCATATACAATCATAGGAAAGTCCTAAAGCTGATCTTACAGAAACACAGCGCTGAGACATCACCTAGCTGACATGTATTTAGCAGACATAGTGCAGCATGGTTAACCTGTTAGAGATATGTTATATCTGACAAATTTAAGCGCAGTATTGGCTGGTTTTTAACCCAAGTTTGGTTGCCACCAGCTCCTTAGAAATGTCTGGACCTCAAGCTTGTTAGATGCTTCACTTACTTCACCAGCTGCACGTTTACTTGGACTGGCTGCCATTTTTTTACGGAGCTTATGGACAATTGGTTTGTCTGAGGTTGTTGACTGGAAACTGCTCACTGTTCAGCTGGAATTTACTGGTCCAAAATAATCAAAACAAACTAATAAAAAACCTACGCGCACTGATGAATTATCAGTAACTAGAGACCCAATCTAAAAGGGGGACCTGAGCACAGCGAGACTGAACCTTTTACCCATGGGTAATCAGACCTATTCCAAAATGCAGTCGACCCAAACAGGTCCTAATAGAGAGAGCCAACATGGCAGCAGCATGATCACCAATTAACCATTAAGCAGTCGCGGTTAAAAAGAGCAGCAGAATAATAATAATAATATCCAAAGAACAAATGCAAAGTCGTAGCAACTGATTTATAAAATAATTACCTTCAAGCTTCAGAGATGTATTTTTGGCACCTTATGGTTTATGACACCTCCTTCACTAACAATAAAACATTCTGTAGTCAGCTGGACAATATATACATATATATATATATATATATATATATATATCTATATAGTCAGTAATCAAGATCCAAAAAGTAACTTGGAGGGACATACTGACACATGGCAGTAAAACAGGAGCTACTCAACCAAATTAGAATGATTATCACCTGAACCCCGTCCTATGGGGTACTGGACCAGGTGTCTGTTCTTCTGAGGCAAGTGGACCCATAAACACCTGAAATTCAATGTTAACGTCAAAAATATAGCCAATGCAAGATCAAGCCTGAGCTTTGATCAAAGTGGTGCACAAAATGAGCCTGTCAGTTAAACTCGTGACCTTAGAAACAGCAAACAGTCT